AAAAAAAAAAAAAAAAAAAAATTGATTTCAAATTCAGTCAGGATAACTTGGCAGTGTGGCAAATGAAATTTTTATTTTGAAGTCAGAAAGACTTTTGGACATAATTTCAGTGGTAAATGTGGTTTTGGCATACATTATTTTATGAGTTTCAAAATGTACTTTTGGAACCTAAGACTTTTAAGAACTGTAATTTCCTTTCAGTTGAGTATTTCAGTGATATTTTAAGTGACCTTCGTAATTTGAACTCATGTTAATCTGTTTTAGCCCATTAACGTCTCTGTCTCTGATCACTTGTTGCAAAGATAACTTTCCTTTAAGTCCTTCTGTAATACTTTAAGCAGTAATTCTTCCTGCTTGACAGGATCTCCTTTTTTATGAAGATATATGTTTAGGTTAGGTATTTTTTCATGACTTTGAAGACTTATATTTCCACAAGAGTGGGTTGTTAACACCCTGATCAAAGATACAAGGAAGAAAGAGCTCAGTAGTATAGATGACATTTGACATGGTTTGTCATAACTTACAGATAATTTTAAAAGCTTTAATTAGTGACTATTTGACTTTATCTCATTGAATCTTTTATTTTTCTAAAGAGGATATTTTAGAAATGGACAGTGAGATTATTGAATAGAAGCTAGTCTTGATATTAATATAGATGAAATTTAAGAATTTGTTTATGATTTTGATTTTCATCCGTTGATTTTTTGAGTAAGTTATTGTTTTGTAGCACTGTTCTAGGACTAGAAATAGTAGATCTTAGCTTGTTGCTGTTATTATGTGGAAAATGCAACTAGGAGGTGGTTTGGCCCGCTCAAATTATTTTTGAGATTGTTCCTCTGCTTTTGCCTACTTGAGGGTACACTTTAAAAAATATTGAAGTCATTTTATTGAAAAAGTAGCTCGTTATTTTTGAAAGAGTTTGCTCTGAATTTCTAAGCCAGGTTCAGGATTAAACTGTAGCCAAATGCTTGTGATATAAAAACCAGTTGAATGAGTTAAACTCTGGCTAGAGGAAACCACATCTGCATCTTTCTCTTACCATGGTAAAGGACATTCTGAACATTACCACTTAAAACTAACTTTTCTCTTTAAGGGTTCCTGAAATTGTGCCAGCTGACTCCAGGTCCACCCTGACCCCACAGCATAAACCATGCTGTGATGTCACAGCTACCATAGAACTCCAGGGTAGTGTGGGGCTGGCCCATGTGGGCTCAGGTAAGTCCTGGCTTTTTTTTTACCATTTGGCATTCTTTTCAAAGTTAGTAACCATTACAATTTTATGTCATAAAGGAAAATAAGGCAAAACTTTGAAAACTGTGCCATATATGGGGGAAAAAATAAGTCTGTTTTCTAAACATCTATGAGCCAGCTCTAAATTCTAACCAACGGAGTTCCATAGTAGCTGTGAAGTCCCCAGTGAGTTGTTGACCTGTGGCTTCAAAATATTTAAACTCTACTCCTGGCCCAGATTACAGAATAATACGTTTGTTTTTTATTTTTATTTTTTAGCTGTTTAGTAATATTTAATAAAGTAGCTTTCATTTATTTTTAGGCCTTCATGTTTTAAGAAGCATATTTACACTTTATCTGTAATTATGTTTCGCTATGAGGCTAATGGTACGTTTCATTCAATTTTGAATGTATGATGATACTGCAGATTAGTTTTATAAAGTTAATCTCAGAGTGGCTTTAGCTGTCCTTTTATTTGCCTTCATAACATGAAGAAGGAAGGAACAGAAGGCGTAATACACGTTTGTTAAATTAAAAAAAAAAAAAGTATTAAGAGAAAGATGCTTCGGCTGGGTGCTGTGGCTTATGCCTGTAATCCCAGCACTGTGGGAGGCCGAGGTAGATGGATTGATTACGTTAGGTCAGGAGTTCGAGACCAGCCTGACCAATATGGTGAAACCCCCTGTCTTTACTAAAAATACAAAAATTAGCTGGGTGTGGTGGCGTGTGCCTGTAGTTCCAAGTTAGGAGGCTGAGACAGAAGACTTGCTTGAACCTGGGAAGTGGAGGTTGCAGTGAGCCGAGATCATGCCACTGCACTCCAGCCTGGGTAACAGAGCAAGACTCCATCTCAAAAAAAAGAAAAAAAAAAAAAAAAGCTTCAATTATTTTTGGAGGCGTTGTGAGATGTCAGTAATATGTTATCTTCTCTTGGAACTTTTAATTTTTTTTCCTGGCCTTTGTCCTATAAAGTGAGGTTTTTAACACTTGCATTTATTTGTTGCCTCTTCCTGTCTACCAACTCTCCTACCTTATTTCTACTTTCTTTTTATCCCCTGACATTAAAAGGTGCTCAAAATACAATTATGTGAAGAACTCAGATATTTCATAATTGTAAGTTTTTTTTTTTTTTTTTTTTTTTTTTTTGCATGTTAATTATGATGGTTTTTCTCTGCTCCCTAAGTAGAAAATATGTGGTGGCTAAAACTTTATATGTGTATGGGCCAAATTCTATTAAACACCATGTCTACAGCAAAAGTGTTTCTGCTGTATGAAGTAACCGTCTGTGAAGTAACTGTCGAAACTTCCTGAAGTTGTCTTTGAGCAGTGTGCAATAAAGACATAGCAAAAATGGGGACAGTTCAGCGATATTTTCGTGAAATTTGATTTGTAATAAATTTACTAATCTTTGTAGCTGAAAATTTACTGGTCACTGAGACTGTAAGCTTGTAATTATGCTTAATGAAAAGAATGAAATTACATATTCTCCAAACAGTAGATAATAAAATTTCTTTTAAATATTATTTTTCACCTATACTTATGTGATATGTGTTTTTCATGCTCTGGGAAATTTGGAGAATTTTGTGCTTAGAACTGACAATAGTCTGTTCTCATCTTCTGTATGTCCTCCATGTTGGGGAATGGTCAGGAAGCCCGTTTGCAGTTTAATGTAGAGCATGGAGTTGTCAGGAGTAATTAAGTGTTTTTGATAATGTTGTATTATGTCAAATAGAAATCCTAGTTGTGTTTTTATGTATCAGTTTTATTGATATATAATTCACATACCATGCAAGCCAACATTTAAAGTTCTGGATATATTTTTAAAAAGCACTTAATGAAAACAGAATGGGTGATATTATTGTACATTATAGTTCCAAAGTACATTTTGCTAATTTTGTTGTGCTAGTCTGTGCCCCCTCCCCCCCCGCCGTGCTCATTAACTTCTAATTACAGAAATCTCTCTGAGACATTAGAGAGGAAATCTTAAGAATTTCTAAAATGAGATTATTTCTAAACTTCAGCTATACGGTGCGATAGGTAAAATTAATAAAGTGATTCGAAGACCTCCCCTACTTCAATCAACAGAAGGAAGTTATTTAGTGCTTAGCTTTAGATTACCTTGTCTTAGTCTTTGGGAAATAAAAAATGAACATGAACTTGCATAAACACCTACATAAAGGCATACACACATAGATATATATATATATATACACACACACATATAAATTGTACAGATCTTCCTCTTTGCTTTTTCAGGTAAATTGATCAGACTCTTGGGTTGTTTTTTTGGAAGTGATTGGAACATTTTTTATGTAACACAAAACATTTTATAAGTAGTTGTATTTTTAGGTTAAAACTGAAGACTATAAAAGGTGCATTGCTGCTACATATACCCGAAAATAGTTAAGGGCTTTGATAGGACTGAAGGGAAAAGTCATTGCCTTCATACAGAAATGCTGCGAAGTAAAAGGAGATGGCATGGGCATGCTGTCTTCAACTGCACTGAATTATCTGAAAAGTTACGGGCCCTATCAGATTATACTTAATTGTTCATTAAATAAGCAGAAGTTTTAGAGTTTTTTTTTGTATTTGAACATAATAATTGGAAATAGAAAACTCTTCAGCCGTAGATTTGTTTTTAGTTCAAATAGCACATTCTGGTCTATTTTAAAGTCTTGCCCTTTTGGAAAGATTTATAGCCCTTATCTCATGCCATCCTTGATTAAGCTTTAGCCCTGACTTCTCTAGGGCACTGTTCCTTAGAAGAATAAGATGGATGGAGACAGGGCATTTGTAGCTGAACTTGTATATACATAGTGAGGAATATATCATCAACCTTTGAAGATAAGAATTCCTGTAAGAAGGCATTCCTTAATATCATGGGTTTTCAACCTGAAGAATGTATATGTCTATGTTGGGGGCAGGGGGTCATTTTTGTGAGGAGAGGATCTAAATTTGCAGGAAGGACCTATGACCATAGGGTTTGAAAACTTTTGAAGCTGGCCTTTTATGGCTCACAAATGTAATTTTAAAAGGACTGTTTTGAATATTGGAGTCACATTTTCACTGTCTTTGTATTTCTCATATTGCCTGGCATGGTGTTCTGTATATCATGAGGATTCAGTAAATGTAGGAATTACTTTGAAGCCTTGTTGTCTTTACTAATGGTAGGAAATTGAATTGTTGCATTTTACCAATCTGTTGCATTCTAAGAAATATGTCTTATCTAATTCCTAATTCAAGATGGCAATTAAAATAATACACTAAGAATATTTTTACCTAGTATTATTATTCTACCCAGCAAACACATTTGTCTTGATGTAACTTAGGAAACACTTAAAAGTATTTGGTCCCACAAATAATTATTTTAAAATTGTTTTAAACACAATTTGTGGTAAACTGGAAACTAATTTACACTTTTTTTCCCCCAAGGCTGATTAATACCTGTACTTTCCAGACTGCTTAGTAGATAGTATTACTACATTTACCTAACATTAATTTGTGTTGAGATTAATAGAATGGTTCAGTGATAATGGAGTTCATTATAGATTTGGGCAGAAGTGATATTTGTGTTTTCCTCCTATTCTAACTGAATTGAAATGTTTTATTTTAGCATATTTTCTTTGAAATCATCTGGTTCAATTTTTACTTTATTAATAATTCTTTTTTTTTTTTTTTTTTTAGACGGAGTTTTTCTTTTTTTTTCCTTGCTGGAGTGCAATGGCGCGATCTCGGCTCACCGCAACCTCCGCCTCCTGGGTTCAGGCAATTCTCCTGCCTCAGCCTCCTGAGTAGCTGAGATTACAGGCACGTGCCACCATGCCCAGCTAATTTTTTGTATTTTTAGTAGAGACGGGGTTTCACCATGTTGACCAGGATGGTCTCGATCTCTTGACCTCGTGATCCACCCGCCTCGGCCTCCTAAAGTGCTGGGATTACAGGCTTGAGCCACCGCGCCCGGCCTTATTAATAATTCTTAATGGGTTTAAGGAAGACTTGGCTATAAGAGAGTCTGAAATCAAAATGTTGCCAGTGTTTACTTACAGCGAAGATGGTTTCAGTTGCTCTAAGTTGTTTCTAAGCTAAAGAGCAGTATGGAAGCCTCAACATTTGTTTTAAGAATGCAGTGTAAGGGGCAGGAGGAGCTCAACACCAGCCGGAGCATACCCTTGTCTCCTTAGTTTCTGCAGAGTCAGAATGAATGCAGGACCAGAACCAGGGACTCAGTGTCTCTTGTGACGTATGGTTTCTTGTACTAGATTATTGATCTTCGATCCAGTTCATACAGTCTAATAGTTCCTCTAAATCCCACCAGAGACTGGAGCCTGTACTGATGGTAAGGTAAGTGCCTGGGCAGTTCTAGTTCTGGAAGGAAAATTTTTAAAGGGAAAGGAAAAAACTAATTTTTCTTATTCTTTAGGACATTTAAATGATGCGTCAGGATCCGGGAGGCACAGAAGCACTTAAAGAGTTTGGAGTGATTACTTCAGGTTTGTGCTCTTTGAAGAAAATTATGATTAAATGCTTTTCTATCTTGCTGCTTGTTTTAGGGGTTGTAGAAGGTGATTTAGCTGCCATAGAAGCATACAAGTCATCAGGAGGAGACATTGCACGCCAGCTCACCGCAGACGAAGTACGCTTGCTGAACCGTCCTTCTGCCTTTGACGTTGGCTATACTCTTGTACACTTGGCTATACGTTTTCAGAGGCAGGATATGCTAGCAATATTGCTTACAGAGGTGAGTGTGGTATTTTGGTTAAATGTTCTTTTATATTAAGGAAATCTGTTATTTAGATTTCATTTTTGATTTTATAATGTTTCTTCAAGCAGTTTTAAAATGTTTTGAATTCTTTTACCCCCTTTAAAAAATAACATTAAACTTAAGAGACTTCAACAGTATATAATTTTTAAGGGTATATACTTTCAAATATTTAAATAGTCACAGCAATGTTTTAACTTACTATATTTGGTTCAAACAAGCCTGGGATGTGTCTGTCATTCATTCGTTAGTCATTCAGTTAACAAATATTTATTGAGTACTTACTATGTGCCATGCACTGGGCTGAAAAGGGATAGAATTGTAAAGACATTGGCTCTTCCTTCATTGCATCTCCAGAAAAGTAGAGAAATGAACAGGTAATTCTGTGCAGCATGTGCCCTGGTAGTTGTAAATGCCAAGTGCTGTGGCAATACACAAAGAGTTTTGAAAGGTGTCTTGTCTTCTTTCTTATAGCAGGTAATGTTTTTGCTACATTTTGAAGGGGAGGAGTTGGGAGTTAGCCATATGAAGTGGATGAGGGAAACAAGGGAGGTTGAGGAAAGCATTTTTACCGGGGGCAGAGATGGTGGAATTTGTGGTGAATCCAGGGACTTGCAGGTAACTCAGCATGGCTGAGATGGTGATTGAGAACAGAGAGAAGGTAAGTGTGAAAGATAAGCAGAGGCTGGATTATGAAGGATCTTCTGTGTCAAGGAATTTGAAGAGTATTCCTAGGGCACTGAATGGTGTTATGTACAGGTGTAGGGGAGTGAGCAGAGCAGATTGTGTTTTGGCTGCTGCACACCGGAGAGGGTTAGGAGGGGTTATAGAGGTGCTGGCAAGAACTCTGCCAGGAGGGTAGTAGCCATAGAAATGGGAAGGCGGTTTGAGAGACTCAGACTGGCCCTCAGTCTGAAGGAGTAGATTGATTGGACATGGGAAGATACAGTGTGGACCTAATGGTTTCTGGCTTAGATAACCAGGTACATGCTACAAATGATAGATATTTCATATGAATTATTCAGGATGTGACTCTATTATCCAGGTAATTTTTAATTTTTATTTTTTAAGACAGAGTCTCGCTCTGTTGCCCAGGCTGTAGTGTAGTGGCATGATCTTGGCTCACTGCCCCCACTGCCTCCTGGGTTCAAGTGATTCTCCTGTGTCAGCCTCCCAAGTAGTTGGGAGTATAGGCACACGCCACCAAGCCTGGCTAATTTGGTATTTTTAGAAAGATGGGGTTTCACCATGTTGGCCAGGCTGGTCTCAAACTCCTGACCTCAGGTGATCTGCCCGCCTCAGCCTCCCAAAGTGCAGGGATTACAGCCATGAGCCACTGCGCCTGGCCCGGGTAATATTTTTTTAATGACAAGAGAAATAGAGTAAAAATGCGGAGAGTCATATTAGTTGTAGATTCAAATTTTGTCAGTATACATCTTTTGTATACATGTTTGCATATTTGCTTATTCAAATTTGCCATTATTTGGCAAGTTCGAACCATTACAGGGCAATGTATAGGGATTAAAACATTTGAAGGTTAGATGGAAACATGATTGTAGTAGCTAACCATTGTGTACAGTTTGGTAGAATTCCGTTGAAGCTGGGGTGGGGGCTTGAGAGACTGAAGGCCATGATGAAGACAAAAGTGCAGGCTTGCTGAGTATAAGGGAGAAGGGCACTTTTCAGGTAGAGGGATCCAAGTTTTGGAACATGAGATGGAAGAGTTACAGGTGGTTTTTCTAGTGTCGAAGGCCTGGCTGCATTTGTGTTATGGTGTCTAGTCGTATTGTGTGTTGTATACTAGAAGGGCTGTCAGTGTGGAGTTGTACTTTGCTGGTGGTAACAGGAGCCAGGATAAAGAAGGTGGCTATGAACTAGGGTGAAAATCTTTAGGGGCTCCCTTCAGGTAGGTAGAAGATTATTACAGGGTATTAGAGGGGCCGTCATGAGCCATTGAGCTCCTGAAAACAATCTGAGGACTAACAGTGGGATGATAATAGAACAGCAGTATATTTATTGCAGTATCACAGATTATCTGGAAACTTAGCAGCTGAGACAAGAAACGTATGTTATCTCACAGAAATCGTGAGGGTTAGCATCTAGGAACCGCTTAGCTGAATAGTTTTGGCTTACAGTGTCAAGCGGTCCAAGGCTGTAGTTGTCAAAAGACTCAGCTGGGGCTCGGGGATCTGTTCGTAAGCCCACTCACATGGCTTTTGGCAGGAGTCTTCAATTCCTTGGCGTGCAGACCTTTTACAGGGATGCTCATGATACGGCAGCTGGTTTCACCCCCAGCAGGTGATCCAAGAGAGAAACAGAGTGCAAGAGAGTGATCCAGTGTCTTTGATACCTGCAGTATCTTTTATAAATGGATTTAGGAAGCAACATACCATTACTTTTGCTATATTCGGTGGTCCATGTAGAGCAACCCTGGAGAACAGTGTGGGAGAGGTGGAGGGGGTTTGTTCCAGGCAAAGAGAAAAATTGGTAATGAATTCAGTCTCCATGGAGTAAATACTCCAAAGGTCAGAATTAAAGGGGCCAGTAGGGAGAGTAGAAGTGGAGGAGTCTGGACTAAGTCTAGACTAAGGGGGTGTGTCACAGAGAATGCTCAGCCAAGTTCTTTTGGAATGAGAACAGGAGAACATTAGAGTTGGGGGATATGTATGTCAGATTCTGTGTCATGGACCCCGTTGGTAGTCTCGTGAAAGTTATGGACTCCTTCCCAAAATAATGTTTTTAAATACATAAAATAAGAAGTAAATAAGATTACACAGGAAATCAGTTGTATTGAAGTAATAGTTACCAAAATACTAAATTAAATTTGTGATATATAAGAAAATACATTTTAATATAGGCAGAAAGTTGGGGAAAATGGATTTAAAATGAAATTCCCATTAAAGTTCATGGAACATTCCCAAGATCATGGAACCTAAATTAAGAACTCTCAGCCTACGGCGATGGTTGAGAACCATAAAGTTGAAAAGGTGAGGTGAGTGGCAGGCTTCACGGGCACATCTTGCTTAAAGATGGTGGTGGAAGGGGTTGTTTGGAGGGTAGGTTTCTTTTAGAATGTTTGTGGTATTCAGGGTCCAGTCCAGGTGGTTTTTTGAAAGGTCTTTCTAGGTTTTTGGAAAGGGCCTGAGGGCTAGATGATTGGAATAAATGATTTTTGAATTTACTTTGGGGAGCCATTTTAACTGTGTTACTTGACAAATAGTTGGTTATAGTCTGAAAATACATAATTTGATTTTCCATGTTTGAGCGTTGACTAATGGTTGGACTCATGTAGTTTAAGATGTAGTGAGAGTTTTAATGGTTAATGATAATCTTGGCCAATAAAGTCTAGTATAACTGAATTTTCATGTAGGAGTTTTTATTTTTCTTTTGAAATGAAGTCTCATTCTGTCACCCAGGCTGGAGTGCAATGGTGTGGTGTTGGCTCATTGCAACCTCTACTTCCCAGGTTCAAGTGATTCTCCTGCCTCAGCCCCCCAAATAGCTAGGACTATAGGCGTGTGCCACCACATCCAGCTAATTTTTGTATTTTTTAGTAGAGTTGGGGTTTTGCTATGTTGGCCAGGCTGGTCCTTTATTTCTTTTCCTTTGACATAAGGTTTCTCTCTGTTACCCAGGGGTGTGATCACAGCTCACTGCAGCCTTGATCTCTCTGGCTCAAGTGATCCTCCCACCTCTCAGCCCCCCTAGTAGCTGGGACTACTGTGCATGCCACCATGCCTAGCATATGTGCGTGTATATATATAAATGTATTATTATTATTTTTTTTTCCTTTTTGGATAGAGGCAGAGTTTCATTATGTTGTCCAGGCTGGTCTTGAATTCCAGAACTCAAGTGATCCTCCTGCTTTGGCCTCATGCAGTGCTGGGATTACAGGTGTGAGCCACTGGGCCAGGCCGGAGTTTTGAAATAGGGAGTCAGGTGACTGTGTTGGGTATGCGGAGTTTTTGAAACACTATTTCTTTTAATGGCAATTGCAGTTAGTTGTCCACATATATTATGTAGGTAACATTATCAGTAAACCTTACTCTTTGAGAAGCAGCAGCAGCAGCTGGAAGACCTGTTGCTCTTCAGACCCCACTTACCCTTGGGATGGTTGTCCAGGTTGGTGATGTCTGGGAACAGGCTCACTCTGGGTTTGCACCATTTTTTTTTTTTTTTTTTTCTGTCCTCCCTTCCAACTTGCACATTTTTGACATTCTTGTTCTAGAACATTGTTCATCAAACTTGAATGTGCTTGAGAATCCTCTAGGGATGAATGTGATCAGACCCACCACTGTTGCCTTGTGCTTCTGCTCCTTCCTATGGTTTCAGGTCATTTTCTGGGTTTGCCCCATTTTTTTTTNCTGGGATTACAGGCACGCGCCACCATGATCAGCTGATTTTTTGTATTTTTAGTAGAGACGGGGTTTCACCATGTTGACCAGGATGGTCTCGATCTCTTGACCTCGTGATCCACCCCCCTCGGCCTCCCACAGTGCTGGGATTACAGGCTTGAGCCACTGCGCCCGGCTACATATTGATATTTTTGAACAGATACACAAGAAATTAGTAACTGGTTGTTGCTAGGGATGGAAATTGATTCCTGGAGAACAGGAATGAAAGAAAGACTTTAATATATAATCTCTGTGCATCTTGAAATTTGTACTGTTTCTATGCAGTGTCAAGTCAAATATTAACAAATAAAAATTAATAATTATAACCAGGCATAGTGGTATGTGCCTGCAATCCCAGCTACTCAGCTGGCTAAGGCAAGAGTGTTGCTGAACTGAAATAGCCTTTGCAAAATTGTGACTGAGACAGTAAAAGAGATCTAACTTACTTGACTCCATCTTGCTTCTAACCTCCAAGCTGTCTTTGCTCATTCCTGGGCAAAGGCTGAACTAACTTTGGAAGAAACTTAGTTTACAGTTTATGGTTTAAAGCAAAGACAATAACAGCCCATTCCCAAAGCAGACCTCCTTGCCTGCGGACTAAAGTGCCTTTGTAGCCACAAGTTTAGAATTTATGGTTTAGGAGTCATGCAGCTGGAGACTACAAGATTCTGACCCTTCCCAAACTGCTCCTAAAATGAGTGCTTGCGATATTTTGTAGACCCTGCACTTGGATCAGTTGGCACCACCCAGATCAATAAACTGGCTCATCTGATCCCACCCAGGAACTGACTCAGTGCAAGAAGACAGCTTCTACTACATATGATTTCATCTCTGACCAATCAGCACTCCTGGCTCACTGGCCTCTCCTCCCCCTCACCAAATTGTCCTTAAAAACTCTGCTCCAGGGGAGACTGATTTGAGTAATAATAAAACTCTGGTCTCCCGCACAGCTGGCTCTGCATGAATTACTCTTACTCTGTTGCAATTCTCCTGTCTTGATGAATTCGCTCTGTCTAGGAAGAGGGCAGGGTGAGCCCCTTGGGCAGTTACAAAACCAGGCCTGTTTTGCTCACATCGCAGTAAGCCAACCATGGACATGATGAGCTTTGTAGCAAAGAAAGGATTTATTTATGTGTGCAGCCAAGCAAGGAGATGGGAGAAGAGGTCTCAAATCCGCCTCCCCAAACATGGAGTTTAGGAATATTTATGGGATAGAAGAGCAGGGTGGTCTAAGGCCCGGGGAAAGATAATTAGGTATAACAAAAAGTGAGATAATCAGTGTTCTATAAAAGGGTAGTCTAGATTTTTGGCTTTTCATAGGACACATGTTCAAAAAATGGCAGCACTGACTAGGCATGGTGGCTCGGGCCTGTAAAGTCATCCTCCCGCCTCAGCCTCCCAAAATGCCCAGCAATTTGGGATGCTGAGGCGGCAGGATGACTTGAGCCCAGGAGTTTGAGGCTGCAGTGAGCTATGATCACAGCACTGTGCTCCAGCCTGGGTGATCCTGTCTCTATGAAAAAGAGAAGGAAGAAGGAAGGAAGGAAGAGAGGGAGGGAGGGAGGAAAGAAGGGAGGCAGGCAGGCAGACATGGCAGCATGATCTGAGGGTGGAGCTCTAGTTCTCAGCCCTCTGACTTCAAAAGGTCACCCATCAGACATTCATGCAGGCCCAGTTTAAGGTATCAGTGGTCTCACCTGGTTCTAAGTGAACCAGAGCTGATTCTATGTTCCTGATAAACAACCCAGGCAACCGTTACCTTTGACCCACATGTCAGAGATGTAATCTACAGTGAGGCTGAAGAGGCTCCTTTTTTAGGGGGAAAAAAAACACACAACACAGCTAAAAGCAAGCAACATAGTTGTCACATTTGCCCTCAGCTTCAGGGGAATTGCTTGAGCCCAGGAGTTTGAGACCAGCCTGAGCAAAACACCAAGAATCCAACTCAAAACAAAACAAAACAAGAAAGAGGAGGGCGGGGGGAAAGGGGAGAGAGCATTAGGACAAATACCTAATGCATGCAGGGCTTAAAACCTAGATGACGGGTTGATAGGTATGGCAAACAACCATGGCATCTGTATACCCATGTAACAAACCTGCACATTCAGCACATGTATCCCAGAACTTGAAGTAAAATTTAAAATAATAATTTTTAACATACATATACCCTTTAACTCAACAATTCTACTTCTTGAACCAATGCGTAGACAAATATGTGTGTAAGGAGGTATGAACAGAAATGTCTTTTTTTTTTTTTTTTTTTTTTTTTTTTGTTTTTTTTTTTTTTTTTTTTTTTTTTTTTTTTTTTGAGGCAGAGTCTCACTCTGTTGCCCAGGCTGAAGTGCTGTGGCACGATCTCAGCTTACTTCAACTTCTCCTCTTGGGTTCAAGCTATTCTCATGCCTCTGCCTCCCAAGTAGCTGAGACTACAGGTGCACTCCACCACTCCCAGCTAATTTTTGTAGTAGTATTTTTAGTAGAGATAGAGTTTCGTCATGTTGGCCAGGCTGGTCGCGATCTGCTGAGTTGAGGCAATCCACTCGCCTCAGCCTCCCAGAGTTGGTGGGATCACAGGCATGAACCACTGTGCTTGGCCTCGTTGTATTTTCACAGATGCTCAACTATGATTTTAGAATTTTGTGTACATAGTTTTATTTAGCTTCACAAACTGGATATGACTGAAATATAAGGTTAAATTAAATCTTTGCAACATTTGCTGCTATTTAGCATTGTAAAAAGAAGAAAAAAAAAATAAAAAAAAAAAGAAGAAAAGTTCTAGTCTTCCTTGGTTTGTTGTTTCTTGCTTAGAGGCCTGTGCAGTAGTGCTCCCATCTCACTCCTGTCAGGCCGAGCTTCAGATGTTGGCAGTCTGTGTTTAAAGTTGAAGATGCCAAATGCTTTTTAAAAAACTCAGAGTGGTAACAAATGGAGAGGAAGAAAAGGCTTGAGGGCAGTGGGAAGTAACCCTTTAAATACCATGCTCTTTTTTTTTTAGTCCAAACTAGGGTACTTGAAGCTTGTAGGAGAAGAAATGTTTGCAGTTTTCTCTTTCTCTGTGAGCTGTTAAAGATGTTTTTATTGGGTACATCATGGTTAGTCTACTTAGGTTTTCTGCCCTCCCTCTTCCTGTGATATGTCTATGGACATCACCCTTTTCCGTAAATTTTTATGTGCATCTTTGAGTATTTCCTTGCGATAAATTCTTAAATAGAAAGACTGAATCAGAGGTTAAAATATTTTTATCACTTTTTGAAAAGTTGTACTGATACATACTTGCATTGATAAGGAAATAAAACCCAATGTATTTTAAGATTAAATAAAGCCTTGAATTATTGGGAAATTTTGCTGATTTCTTTGAAATACTGTTGTTTTCTGCTTCTATTTATAATACATGAGATGAGAGGAAAGTTTGTTTTGTATTTAAGGTGTCTCAACAAGCAGCAAAGTGTATTCCAGCAATGGTGTGTCCTGAACTGACAGAACAAATCCGGAGAGAGATCGCTGCCTCTCTTCATCAGAGAAAGGGGGATTTTGCTTGCTATTTTCTGACTGACCTTGTAACATTTACGTTGCCAGCAGGTAACTCCAAAATCTAATGTAAAAATATTTTTTCATTTTATTATATTTGTGTATATGGGTGAAAAATGTTTTTGTTAGAAGGCACATAACATAGCTACTATATGTGCATTTTAAATTACTTGACTGTCTTATTTATGCTGGAAGTGACCATATAGAAAGCTACTTGTTAGTAAATTCTTTAGCTATCTGAGAGGAATACAGCAGTTGATAGTAATGGATTTCTTTGTGGACCTCAGATTATTTTTTGAAAATCTGTTTTTTATTTTCTCTTTGGTTTTATTTCAGAATATCCTTAAAAACATCTCCTTTGAAAAATTTTCCCTTTTCATGGTTGTATGTTATTTTGAAATTAGATAGCTGTATTGATAACCTGGTATTAAGAAATGGGTTTAGAACATGAGCTTTTGATGGGTAGAGTTATGATATTTCAGTTGAACATACTCCATTCTCTTGAACATGTCATCCCTTTTTTTACTCATTGTATTTATTTCTACTGTATTTGTGAAGCAACTTTTCATGTTTCAATTCATTGACAGTTGAAGATGGCTTTCAGAATGCTTTTTGTCAGTTGGCATTGATGTTTGGCATTTTGTCAATTGGTGTTTGGTTAGTACCAAACACCAGAAGTTTCTAAAATCTTTCATCTGAGATCTGTTTTTTTTTTTTTTTTTTTAAATTGAAATAGAGTCTTGCTCTGTTGCCCAGGCTGGAGTGCAGTGGCATGATGATAGCACACTGCATCCTCCCAACTTCAGGGCTCAAGTGATCCTTCTGGCTTGGCCTCCTGAGTAGCTAGGACTGTAGGTGTATGCCTCCCACACCTGGCTAATTTAAAATTTTTTTGTAGAGATGGAGTCTTGCAGTGTTACTCAGCCTAGATCTGAGTGGTTTTAATTTTTATATTCTGACATAAATGGGCGTTTACAACTTGTAGGAAATAGTAATTAAGTTTTCTGAAATTGGAGGAAATTTCGTTTGAAATGCACTCATTCTGTATTTAAGCTTACCCCAGAATGATCAGATTGTTTTTTTTGAGATGGGGTCTCACTCTACTACCCAGGCTGCAGTGCCGTGGCAAGATCATAGCTCACTGTAGTCTTGACCTCGCCAGGCTCAAGCAGTTCTCTCACCATCGTCTTCTGAGTAGCTTAACTACAGGCATCTGCCACCTCATCTGATTCATTTTTGTATATTTTTTGTAGAGATAGGGTTTTGCCGTGTGGCCCAGGCAGGTCTCAGAATCCTGAGTTCAAGCATTCTGCTGGCCTCAGCCTCCCAAAGTGCTGGAATTGTAGGTGTGAGTCACTGCACCTGGCCCAGAAAAGAAATATTTTATATAACTCACGTTATACTTGTATATTAAGAAAAAGCTATCTGATAACCTTCAATGGAAAGGGAGTTATTTTAGAAGAAGTTACTAGTAAATGCTAATATCAAATATAAGTTATGAAACAAAAGATCTTTTAAGTTGGCTTTTTCTTTGTAGATATTGAAGATTTGCCTCCAACAGTCCAAGAAAAATTATTTGATGAGGTGCTTGATAGAGACGTTCAAAAAGGTAAACATGGAATTAATGAGTACAATTTACCTTTTTCTGATCAAGCAAGTTTTGTTTAGTAAGATATGGTAAAGTTTGGTGTATGGTCAGCTTGGTTTGTTTGTTTGTTTATTGATTGATTCATTGATTGAGACAGAGTCTCGCTGTGTTACTCAGGTTGGAGTACAGTGGTGCGATCTTGGCTCACCGAAACCTCTGCCTCCTGGGTTCTAGCAGTTCTTCTGCCTCAACCCCCGAGTAACTAAGACTTCAGGTGCATGCCGCTACGCCCAGCTAATTTTTTGTATTTTAGTAGAGATGGGATTTCACCATGTTGCCCAGGCTGGTCTCGAACTCCTGAGCTCAGGCAGTACACCCACCTCAGCCTCCCAAAGTGCTAAGATTATAGGCATGAGCCACCTCGCCCGGCTGGTTTAAAGATACAGAGTCCTGAATTTCAGTGTTACATTGTATTGTTCACTGTCACAGAGTGCACAAATAAAGATAACAAAAATTTCAAAACCTGGGTTTCCGCCTCCTGTTCCAGAATGTGTATTTCTATATTAAACACTTTTTAGAAGATCATACTATAAAGAATTTAAAAGTTGATTAAATTATTCTAGAGGCAGAAGATGTTTCCAGTACTCAAAAGTTTGTATTTCAATTGGTCAGTTTTTATTTAGGTGTTTATTGGTAAATTGCATATAAACCATTTTATATCTAGAAAATAGGTTCTTCTCCCCATGAATATTCTCTAATGACATAGGTATGGAAATGAACATGTATTTAAATTCATCGTACAGAATTAGAAGAAGAATCTCCAATTATTAACTGGTCCTTGGAATTGGCTACACGTTTGGACAGTCGACTATATGCACTTTGGAATCGGACTGCAGGAGACTGCCTACTTGATTCAGTACTACAGGCTACCTGGGGCATTTATGACAAGGACTCGGTGCTTCGGAAAGCCCTGCATGACAGCCTGCATGACTGTTCACATTGGTGAGCTGGCATTCTTCCCTGTTTCAAACCAGGAGTGCGTTTGCTGGATCATTTCCTGTAGTCGTGGAATACTTTTCACGTCAGTTATATTTTATATGGAAACTAGAGGAAAAACGGTTCATTTTGGACATTAAAATATGTTGAACATGTCCGTGGTTTTTGTTTTTTTGTTTTTCCCTCAAGAAACACGATAAAAGCAAGAATCAATGGTTTTTGTACCTTTTTTTGCTAAATTTTAAAATAGAAACATTTGAAGCTTTAAAATGCAAGCATTTATTGTTTCTATAAAACAGAAGCAGTGTATTTGAACATTTCAAATGCAGCATTTCAAGTTATAGTAGCCGTAAGTATTGATAAGACCTTTCGGATTGATTGATTGATCCATCGATGGAGACAGGGTCTGGCTCAGTCGGGGTCTGGCTTAGTCGCTGGGCTGGAGTGCAGTGGTGGAATCTTGGCTCACTGCATCCTTCACCTCCTGTGCTCAAGTCATCCTTCCACCTTAGCCCCCTGATTAGCTGGAACTTCAGGTGCTCATCACCATGCCTGGCTATTTTTATCATTTTTGGTAGAGATGGGGTTTTGCCATGTTTCCCAGGCTGGCTTTGATATCGTGATCTCAAGTGATCCACCTGCCTGAGGCTCCCAAAGTGCTGGGATGACAGGCCTGAGCTGCCACACCCAGCCTTATTTAATATTTGTGTTCAACTAAGAGATTATCTTGACATTGTGTTACAAGTTTTTTTCCTTCCTGAGGGAGTCTTAAGATCACATTTTTTATTTTGCAAATTTTCAAACTCATATAATAATTTTAAAGAAATTCAGTGCAGTGGATCCCAGTATTTTCTTCATTCAGTTGAGCAGTTGTTAACATTTTGCCACACCTGCTCCGTGTCACCATACAGAAAGACTCCTGGATCAGTTCATTGTAGACATCATGATGCTTTACCCTTCAAAATATCAATATGTATCTTTCCAGAACAAGAATATTCTCCTACTCACCCACATCCCCATTACTACATCTAAGTAATTCAACATTGATTCAGTTATCTAACAGTTCATAATCATATTTCTTTGGTCGTCTCAAAGTGTTCTTTATATAGATATATTTTACCTGCATCCAGACACTGGAAAAATCATTGTTTTTGTGAATGGATAGTTCAGTCTCTACATTTATTTGACTTCCGTGGTATTTTCTTGCTTCTTTGAACATTATCTCATTTAGTTATTTTATAAGGCTCAAAGAGGCTAAATTGCCTATTGTTGAAGTTAGTAACTAGCAGAAGCCATGTAAAAAGTCGTACAGTTTTCCGTACATCAATGTGTGTTTTTTCTCCTTTATCTAATTGAATGCTTACAAATAATGCTAAAAACCCTACTCTAGAGAACTTTATTACCCTAGTATCTTTATGTCTTTTTATTTTTATTTTTTGAGACAGAGTCTTGCTCTGTTGCCCAGGCTGGAGTGCAGTGGTGTGATGGCTCCCTGTAGCTTCTGCCTTCCCAGGTTCAAGCAATTCTCCTGCCTCAGTGTCCCAAGTAGCTGGGATTACAGGTGCCTGCCACCATGCCCAGCTGATTTTTGTAGTTTTTGTATTGATGAGGTTTAGCCATGTTGGCCAAGCTGGTCTCGAACTCCTGACCTCAAGTGATCCACCGTGCCTGGCCCTTTATGTCATTTTTGAGCACTTAGCAGCCTCCCAAAGTGGTGGGATTATAGGTGTGAGCCACTGTGCCTGGCCCTTTATGTCATTTTTGAGCACTTAACAGTTGTAAATTTTCTTTTCAGTATTTAGGGCTTACATAAGTAACATTATAAAGTTCATGAGAACAGGGATTTTGTTTTGTATTGTTGTGGAAGATCCAGTACTTAGAATAGCCTGACATATAGTAGGTGCTCAGGAAATACTTAACGTTACTGAATGAAAGCACTCTCTAGAATTTGGAAATGAGAACAATGTAAGTTACTTTTTCTTTTTCTCTCCCTGCCCTTCCCTCCTCCTCCTCTCCTCCTGTCCCCCTCCCCCTCTCCTCCCCTCTCTGTCCCTCTTTCTTTGAGACGAAGTCTTGCTGTGTCGCCCAGACTGGAGTGCGGCGGCATGATCTCAGCTCGCTGTAACCTCCACCTCCCAGGCTCAAGCGATTCTCCTACCTCAGCCTCCCAAGTAGCTGGGACTACAGGCATGCACCACCCTGCCTGGCTAATTTTTTGTATTTTTAGTAGAGACAGGGTTTCACCATATTGGCCAGGCTGGTCTCGAACTCCTGATCTCAGGCAGTCTGCCCACCTTGGCCTCCCAAAGTGCTGGGATTATAGGATAGGCATGAGCCACTGAGCCCGGCCTATAAATTGCTTTCTTGAGAGCAAAATTGTAGATTAAAGCATAACACAGTATGGCTGGGTGTGTGGCTCATGCCTGCAGTCCCAGTGCTTTGGGAGGCTGAGGCAGGCAGATCATTTGAGGACAGGAGTTCAAGACAAAGCTGGCCAACTTGGTCAAACCTTGTCTCTACTAAAAATGTAAAAATTAGCCAGGCAGGTTGGCTCATGCCTGTAATCCCAGCTGTTAGGGAAGCTGAGATATGAGAATTGCTTAAATGCAGGAGGAGGAGGAGGAGGAGGATGCAGTGAGCCAAGATCGTGCCACAGCACTCCAGCCTGGGTGACAGAGTGAGACTCTGTCTTGGGTGGGAGGGAGGAGAAAAAAGCATAATGTAATAGAGTAACAATTTGTGGGCACATCAGAGAAATAAAATAGCTTCCTGGATGGTAACCTGATTGGATGTGTAATAAAGCTGAAGAAAGAATGTGTCACTCAGGTAGATGGTTCAGCCAATTAGTCATTGTCCAGGAGAGAGGGCTTTTTGTGCCCGTTAGTGGAGATGGCTGCCATAGGTTGGTCTGGTAGCTTGAAGTGGGTTCATCGGGCTAGGTAAGCCTGATGGTGGTGGTCAGTGCTCTGTCTGGCCCTCTTGATCAGGTCTTGTGGTTACCAAGCAGCTTCCTGCTGCTGATTTACATGTCCACTGCTATGGGCCTGCCTGTGTCAAGAGGGTGAGCATGGTTTGGTTCCTAAGACAGTGGGCTCTTGGCAATGTTGTTTCACTGCCTTGAAGTTTTGGTGATGACTCTGCCCTGTAAGATGGAAAGCCAGGTTTGAACTGTGGTAAAGCTACCACTTTGCAGGTACCCGCTAAAAAGGCATCCTGTAATCTTTTCTTTGGTGGTAATTTTCTGTTTTTTTTTTTTTTTCTTTTTGAGACAGAGTCGTACTCTGTCATCCAGGCCAGAGTACAGTGGCACGATCTCGGCTCACTGCAACCTCTGCCTCCCAGGTTCAAACAATTCTTGTGCCTCAGCCTCCCGAGTAGCTGGGGTTGCAGATGGTGTCACCATACCCCTCTAATTTTTTGTATTTTTAGTGGAAATGGGGTTTTGCCATGTTGCTCAGGCTTGTCTTGAACTCCTGAGCTCAGGCAGTCCGTCTGCCCTCTTTGGCTTCCCAAAGTGCTAGGATTATAGGTGTGAGCCACCGCGCCTGGCCCTTTCTTTGAAAATTTCCTGATCTATTGAAAGGCTGAAAGTACATTGTGAATTTTAGAGGTGGTGTCTTTTTTTTTTTTAGTTAGTTGTGAGGGTTTTTGTTGTTGTTGTTTTTGTTTTTCGAGAAAGGGTCTTGCTCTGTCACTCAGGCTGGAGTGCAGGGGCATGATCTTGGCTTACTGCATCCTCCACTTTCTCGGCCCAGGTGATGCTCCCACCTCAGCCTCCTAGGAGTAGCTGGGACCACAGGAGTGTGCTACCACATGTGGCTAATTTTTAAATTTTTCTGTAGAGATGAGATCTCACTATATTTCCCAGCCTGGTCTTGAACTTCTAGGCTCAAGAGTTCCTCCTGCCTTAGCCTCCGAAAGTGCTGAGATTACAGGTGTGAGCTACTGCACGGGCCTTTTTTTTTTTTTT